TATATATATATATATATATATATATATATATATATATAAAATTGCACGGGTTTACCTAGAGTCTGGTCCTAGCCTCGTCACTATCGTCGGGGTTAGGCCAGACACTTACCAGCACATGGGGTCGGTTGTGCTGATGCTACACTCTGCACTTATGTGCAGATATCGGAGCAGCACTGGGTCAGCAGCAGTAGCTTGGGAGCCAGCCTTCAGTCCACCGAGATCTCGAGGTAGTCCTGCAGGCGTTCGCAGATCCGACGTCTCTTCTATCAGTTATTTTGTTCTGTTATTATTGTATCCGAGACAGATAGTGTTCCTTCTTTCAAACGTTTGTATGTAGTAATCATAGATAGTTTGTGAAAGTTGTGACACCAGTTTTTGGGTAGAGGTATATGTTGATTTCCGAATTATTTTGGTTTATTTTGTTTAAGTCTTCCGCTTAATCTCATATTCCGCTATTATTTAAATGTTTGTCACATGTTAAAGCAAGTTGTTAAAGGGATTAAAACAAAGAGGTAAAGAATTTTCTAGATTTCGTGACTTGCTTAGCTTTTACGAGTAGGCGCCATCACGACTCCCGAGGATGGGAAATCCGGGTCGTGACAACAATAAATATAGTTTGAGATTAAAATGGCGAAAGCACAATACTTTAAAATGATTAAATCTCAGTTTTACTAAGATGCTGCAAGATTCATCCTAAGCAAAGATTTCTGTACTTTGTCTCACTCCTCCTTCTGAATATTGCAGAGAGGATTATTATCGTTACATAAAGTACATCAAATGATCGGTTTCGCCCTTGTTGGAATTATTGTGGTTAAAAAGTTTTTTACTTTTTGCATTTTTTAAACTTTAGTCATTCTTAAGTCCCCTTGATTTTGCTTGCATTACAGTATCTTGTTCACTGTTTCCGGACTCTTGATCTGGATCTGCTACTGGACTAACATTCAAGTCCAACTCTTCTTTTTCCGAAGTCGAAAACTTGGATATTTTCTTGGACCCTTGTGATTGATCTGAATAAGTTTTCAATTTGCTGCTTCCTTCTTTCGTTTGAAGCTCAATCCTTGCAGTTGCATCACCTTGCATTTCATGTCTTACAATTTCTTCAGCCTCATTTGTTACCTGTTATTATAGGCCCGATCGAATTGTGAGAAAAATATAATCATATGTAAATTAAAACACGATTACTTATCTCATATCACATGTTAAACTACATGATACTATAAATATTTTTATACTGCCGGTGTATATAACTTCAACTTTTTGATGGATGAATTTCCGAAATTCGACAGATTGTACTGACCTCAAGTGACATATTAGATCTTCCTTGCATATCGATCTCTGTGTTTAGTGTTTTTCGGATCAACTGCATTTCTCTCCATATTGTGTTAAATAACATTTTAGAATTGCTATTAATTTAATTTAAGACACTAAACAGAGATATTATAATAAACTCTTTCAGTCCACTTACCCTTACCATTTGTGCAGCTTCTTCATTCTTTTCACTTCTCTTAACTGCTCAAAATTCCAAGAGAAAAAAGGACAGAACCTCTAAAAATTAATTCTACCTTTTTATATGAAGAATTAACTCAAATAGTTGTTCTCCCAACCGCTTAAACTAAAAATAACCAATGAAGGTATAATATATGCATAATTTATGTATTATATATGTATAATTGTATGTAATCAATGTATAATCTATGTATACGGCTAAAAAAATAAACAATAAATATAGGCGGCTATGTGTGTAAAAATTCCTTTTTATATTTATGTACCAAAAGACTTCAATACTGTCCATGTTTAGTTATACTATACTCCCTCCGTTCCCGTTTATATGAACCTATTTTCTTTTTGGTCCATTCCAAAAAGAATGACCCCTTTCTAAATTTGAAAACAATTTAGCATAAACTTACAATTCTATCTTTAATAAGAAACTTTATAACCACACAAATACTCTGGGCTCCTTTTTGACTTGTTTAGGACCACAAATTCCAAAAGTCTTCATTTTTTCTTAAACTTCATGCCCAGTCAAACAGGTTCACATAAATTGGAACGGAGGGAGTATAAGTTATTGAGAACTTGCCTTTACTAGTTTTAGGGGTGCTGATGATGTCCTTACTCTGTCTGTACTTCTGAAAACAGCATGAACTCAAATATCAGTGACAAAAGTGCAAGTGTTAAAACTTGAAAAACTTGCATCATTATAGGATTTGAGAAGCTAATGCCTTATGTTCAGAGGCGGATCTATGTGTAGTGTTAAGGGGTCACCAAACTTCAGCAGAAATATGTATATGAATATCATGAAAATAATTATATAAATAACTTGACACCCTAAACACTAAAAGCCTTTAGGGACCACTGGTTCATGAGCAAAATCTTGGTGTCCCCAATACTTTAAAATTCTGAGTCCGCCTTTGCTTATGCCCCCTTCTTATGAGGCTTAAATCTACAATCTAAGTAAGAATCCGTCTAAAACTGCATCACTTGAACGAAGATTAAATCAAGAAAAATAGAGAAAACAAACTTAGACAATAACAACAAACCCTTTATAGTCTCACAAGTGTGGTCTGGAAAGGATAGTGTGTACGTAGACCTTACTATTACGGTGAATGTAAAGAGATTGTTTCTGATAGACCATCGGCAGACGGCAGGAGGAAAAATGAGAACAAGAAGGAAAAGAAGAAAAAAAAAATTAGAAACAAACATAAACAGGAGTATAGGACAACATTAGAGTACCTGGAGATGGCTTTTGATATGGCCTGAAGTGATATCTTCATCATCCATGAGTTTCATTATATTCTTCGGAGTTGCTTCTGCTCATTCAAAAATTTTAAAACATGTATGTTTATTCCTATTGTAATATACATACCAAATATATTATGTTCATCGCGTAATATATATAGTAAGACAGACCAAATGGACCTCCTAATTCATTCACTGCTTCAACAAAGTGATCATGGACCTCCACTGTCCACCTAAACCTTGGTTTTCTGTTCAGATCATGACTTTGGACGACAGCTTTTTCGGATGTTTCTTCACCCTTTTGCTCCTTGCTGATTTCCTCCATATTCTCCGGGTTGTACGTAGTTGCAATCAGAGGCGGATATATATTGATTCTACGAGTTCAACTGAAATCATTGCTTTATTGCTCGATCCTACACAACAGCAACAACTATCGCAGTATAAGCTCGAATCCTACACACATGTACAAAAAGAATGTTAGTAATAAGTATTATAAGTATAACAATAGATTATTAGCTAGGATATTCTGAACCCATTAAAAGTTGAGTTCAACTTTAGTTGCAATGTGGATAATTATATTTTTTTTAAAGAAAATCAACTAAAACCAGAAATTGTTAAAGAAAAATACTTAGAGATATTTGAATAATAGAAACTGCATGTTGGCCCTAATGCAGCTCGTTATGTGGAGTGCTACTCCATAGAAATATCCTAGCTCACCAACCTCATCTCTTTGCTCTAATTCTCTATCCTGTCACTCTTCTTATAATAGCAATTCTGGAATTCCCCATTTGTGGTCCTGATTCTTGCCTCTCTGTAAGTAGATGTTCTGCTGCTAATTACTAATTGTGTTTAACTTCTATATAGTAAATATTGCGATGTAAGATCGCCTAAAAGATAATTGCACTTAAGTCCACCAAAAAAAGATTAGTAGCCTGAGAAACAAGACAGTTATTACCGGCTACTACAAGTTAAAATACACTGGGGTCGTTTGGTTGGAATATGATTTATACCGGTAAAAGTTTATTGGGATAAATTATGCTGGGATTAGTTATGCTGGAATTGTTGTTTATTCATTGTTTGGTATATGTTGTATTAAGAATGACAATTGCATAATTTCTAAGAAGATATAAGTTATACCGGTGCTAATTACCCTACCTTTTATAAGGTATAAGTTATCCCAGTGTTAATATATTTGGTTTGTTAACCAAATAGAGTATTAAGGTGATATTAAATTTTTATACCACCCTTATACCTTCTTATACCTCGTACCAAACGACCCCTTAATGTAAAGAATATTGGTATAGACTATAGATTAGTCAAATCATACTTTTTATTTGTTTCCCGCGCCTAGTGTCCGACAACCGCATTAACAGGCCCTAACTAATCTGGATCACGACGTGTAGGCCTACTAAAAGGGGAAACACTAAAGTTCCGAGAACGCGAACCCCAAACCTCTCTTAAAGGTAAAAGGATCGTATGCAACTCACCACAACCCTGAGTGCTAAGTCAAATAATACTAGCTAATTAAGCTTTCGAGTTGACAAAACTACTACTTCCTCCGTTCCAATTTATGTAAACATGTTTGACTAGGCACGGAGTTTAAGAAAAAATGAAGACTTTTAAAATTTGTGATCCTAATCAAGTCAAAAAAGGGCCCAGAGTATTTGTGTCCATAAAAGCTTCTCATTATAGGTAGAATTGTAAGTTTAAGCTAAATTGTTTCCAAATTTTAAAAGGGGTCATTCTTTTTGGAATAGACCAAAAAGAAAATAGGTTCACATAAACTAGAACAGAGGAAGTATAAGCAGTGTAGTGAAGTTACTATATTTGGCACTAAATTTCTCAAAATTTCTATCTTATCTTTGTTATAAAAAGATACCGGGACTGCAAGTGCATGCAGCATGCAATTGAAAGAGATGGATATTCCCTATTATTTTTGCTAGGGAAACACAAAACAAAAGAATTACATTACTACAGTATCTATCGATCTAATTAATGTTATCATTTACGATATTGTTTTCGACGATCAGGGATGTCAAATTCAGCCTATTAGAATATAACACATCAGCCCCCCCTAAGTTTGAGTAGATTTGGTTGTGCATATATAATTCCCGGGAAAATGACACTTTTTAGTTGCTCTCAAAATGATAGCCGAAAAAATATATATTTTTTGTATATATAAACATTATGTATGTTATATACAAAAATTATATACAAATTTTAATAAACATTTTTTTCGGTTACCAAACGTAAATAGTTTCTGGCGCGCGCTAAAAACGAAAAAAGCCCTATATCCCCTGCCTACATAAAGAATTAACTCAAATAGCCACCACTAATTGTTTAAACTAAAAATAACTGGTTGGATATATAAAATATGTATCACTCTTACATAATATGTGGATAGTCGTGTATAATCAGTATATAATCTATATATAAATTGTGTGAGTTATGTTATAACACATTATTTACTTCAAATTGACCCGCACTTCTTGACTCAAGTATACAGGTAATATTAAAAACAAACCTCCCCTTACCATCACCATTGCATTGAAACTCCTTTTATTTTCGTTTTTTTTTTTTTTAATTTCTTCGTTTTGCTGTTATTTTGACCAAAAGTAGAGCATAATTCATATGTCTGTAAGAAGTCATATTTACATTAATCATGATGTTATCTTTATTTGGATTCCTATATTTTGCAAACAAATTTGCATTAATCTTAAGACAATTTAACTGCAGATCATATATAATCTATTGTTTTCTTTTATTAAATAAATCCTCCTATATAATCGCCGCATCTTTTTCTTAGCTCTGACTCCTATATTCATTTTGGTTCACTAAAGTGTGTAGCCTTCTAAAGCTTTCCAGTTGTAAAAAGTTTCAGGATAACTGCATCACTTTTCTAAAAGGAATATATATTTTTTTGGGTGCCTTTACATAAAAATATGTGATCTTTTATCTTTGAGTTTAAGTTATATAAGCGCCAGATCTATTCGGAGACCGATAGATATTGAAGGAATCGTTAATTTCCCCTTAAGAATAAATATGATAAACTTATAATTTCCCGATTTGAGTTGATAGAGTAATAAATCTTTACTCCATCGGAATAATTAAATCTAATATGTTATTTTAAGGATATCATATTATAATTAGTTTTAAAAATTACAGCTCCTGAACATGTAATTTAACTTAATACTGTAAAAAATGATACACAATCAATGCACAAAACGCATATTCATTATCTTCTTGGCCCTGTCATTTTTTGAATTTAAGTGCTTGCTTTTGTAGGTCTATTTTAGGGATATTCGTTGTTTTTTCAGCGCAAGATCTTTCCTTTTCTCCTTTATAGTAGCTAATTTCAATGCTTCCTAAAATAGGCACTTCCTCTATATATGTACGCATTTTTATTTCAGCAGCTTATTTTCCTATGTCATAAATCAAACCGTCCAATTTGGTTATGTGCTCAAATCTGACCGTCTAATTCTGTAGTGAATTTTGACAAGATTGTACTGCTTGTTATTAATTGGTTCTTTATCTTTTTCCCCCTTAGAATCTGATGCAGTCACAAATACTAACCAATAAACTAGCACTACGTGACATCTGCTTTTGTGCTTAGGATGAGATGAGATTCTTACAAAATATCTCCCAAGAAATAAAATATCTGCTCTCTTTAATCCTTCTGCGGCGTACTATACAGTCAAATCTCTCTAAAACAATTTTATTTATTTTAAATATTTTTGATGTTATAGCGAAGTGTTGTTATAGAAAACATATATTATAACATTACATAAAAATTGATTTCGAAATGCTTGAATTTTATAGCGAAGTGTTATTATATAGAAATGTTGTTACAGAGAGATGTGATTGTAATAATTGTTATAAAT